CTGCTCGGGGTGCCAGTCGTTATTTGTGGAGCTGCATCACGCAAGGTGAGGCAGCTGGTCTGGCTCGAATATGCGTAGTTCAGACAGGCTGGGCCTGGAGAAATTGGTTTGTTCAGGGGATGTTTCAGAGGACTTTGCTTCTTTCAGTCCTTTCCCTTTTCAGTATCCTGGGCAGCTAGCTGGTACAGCAGGGAGGAACCCGGTTGCACCCATGTCTGTGCATTTAACTCTTAACTCTTGACTCTGAGAGTTTTATTTAATTTCCCTCCCTCAATGGAAAATTACTGTGGGATTTTTCAAAAAGAAGGTGGGAGAGAGGTGGCCCTTCATCTCATAGAGCCAGCCCCACCAGTCTTTTGTTTGCAGATGCAGTTGCTATGTGTCTGGGGGATGCTCTACTCTTCCAGCATTGGGGGATGCCATGGATAAGTAGGATCTGGGGTCCTCATTGGTGTAGAAGGTCCTACAGACTCCATTTCTGCAGCAGATCTTAATCTATCCCTTATAACAGCAATTGGTAATTAATTGCAGGCAGGGTAATAGCAAAGCTGATCATGAGATACTCCTGAGACTTAGCATCATGTTCCTGGGCCTGATCCTGGCAGAGACATGAGATCCTGCCTGGGCAGAAGAAAGGATGGATAGAAAATTTCTGTCCACAAAATGCAATGAGGAATGTTTTCATTCAAGCACCTGCAGGATGAAGTGGATGCAAAAGGTTTGAGCTTGGTCAGGGCACCACTCTTAGTTCTCAACTTCTTGCTCAAGTGGCTGCAAGTCCATATTAGGTATTAATTGCTGGGTGGCCCTGACCATGCCCACTACTATCAGGCTCTGCATGAAAGCAGGACAAAACCAGCATCCCTCCACTGCGAGGAGCTTACCATGCCCCGGAGGGTTTCTCCCGTGGGAGAGTTGCCTGGGATTGAAGGCAAGCATGGTGTCCAGGCAGGTTCTTCAAAGGCAAGAGCCAGGATGTCCAGACCACCCAGTCCCTGAGACCACAGATGGGACCTCAATCCATTTGGTTATACAGGGTGCTCTGCACCACAGGGTAAATGTCTCGAGTGCCATTGGAGATGTAGCTCCTTACCTCTCAGTATTTGTAAGAACTGCCCAACCAAATCTCCGTGCAATCACCAGAGAATGTAACCCCGTGTTGTCCGCCAGCTCTCCACATGCCAGACAAACTGTGGGGGCTCTCAGAGGACTTGTCTCACTCGGGGGGGGGTTATGAGCAGGGCTGACGGGACAGAGCAACTGGGTTTTAGACCACAGCTGTCCACGTGTCTGGAGTTATTTTCCCCAGCCTTGTGCCTTCCAGCCCCTTTCCTTGGGAGTAAACGATGTAGTAAAAACTTGCAGGAATCGCGTATTTCTGAGCACGTAGGCTGGTAATCACTGAGACAGCTGAAGCCTTAGATTTGTTTGCGTAGGCTCTTCCAACAGAGCAGACATTTGTCAGATCTAAATTCTGTTGAAAGGTATTTCATTTTATTAATTAAATAAAAAAAATTCGTGGAGAAACGATAGCACAAGCGATGCTATCCTGTTTCCAGCTTGGCAACTCTGACTGTCTCCCCTTGGTTTTTAGTTCTTCTGCTGTTTCTTTGTCACTCTGAATGTCTCTCTAGTTTCCACATTGACCGATAGCCAAAATCCCAGTCCCACTGAAGTCAGGGAGAGTTTTGAGCTGCATCAGAATTTGGCCTTTGAAGTGAAAACAGTTATTTAATGTTAAATGGAGTCAAGAGGTAAGAAACCATTGTGCTGTCTAGATACTTTCTCTTGTACTGACATAGGGTCCCCCACAAGGCACTGTGTCATTATAGCAAAGGATGAGCAGAGAGTGACGGAAGAAGGATTTCCTAGTAACTGCAACATTTTTCTGGGGTGGATTCTTGCTTTTCTTGGAAAAGCTGCTGTGGGATTCAAGCTTCAGCTGTTCCTCCCTTTGGCATCACAAACATAAAAGCCTGGGTTGGGAAGTGCCTTTGGGTTCCTACATGGTCTGGTTGCCTAAGCTTGGTGGGTCACCCCAAGCCACCATCGTGGCACCTACACTCCTGCCCTTGAGCAAGCACAAGATTATTTCCATCAACTCAACGCACAGTGGGTGCATGTGGTAGGGTGTGCAGCTCCCCATCTTGCCCCTTTCCGGGGTTCTCTAGGTCCCCAGCACCTTGGTCACACCTGAGAGCAAGGATGGGTCATCCCAACCTCCCAGGCTTTGTGATTCTGTGCAGTCAAAAAAGTTTTAAGATCTGGGCCCTGTTCTCCCTGCTTTGGCTCTTCTTCACGGCAGAGTCTTATTTCTTCTTGGCTTTTCTTCTTCGCTGGGGTGTTGGGAAGATAAAAGCACACAATGAGTCTGCCTGAATGCTGGATGATCATCTAGACCCCTGCCTGCTGCCAAGTCACGGACGTTGCTTCTTGTTTGCTATTCTCCTTCCTTTTCCTTTAATTTTTTGCAAATTTTTTTCCCTAACTTGTTTAACTCTGGTGTTTTCCATCCTGTGGTCAGTGACTGCAGAGCTTTGGTTTGTGTTTGCTCTTCCCCTTGCCATGGAGATATTGCCTTTTAGCTGTCTTCTACAGGGACGGAGCTGCCTGTCCTCTCCCTGTCCTATTGCAAAAGTCCCAAACTGAACAATCTTACACATTCCACATTGGCTTAAGTGGTTTTTTGTAATCTTAAACCTTTTTTTCTTTCTTTCTTTCACAGCCCTTAAACAGAAATGGTTTGGTTTATAATACCATTATGTCTTTAGGAAAAAAATGTCCCTGCATGCATTTCTTGTAGGAATTTACGGCAGAGGTTGGTTCCCAGCTCATTTCCAGGCATTTTGCCTTACCTCTGCTTAAATTAAAGCTGTTTCTATGTGCAGCTTTTATAATTTCTGTGCAATATTTGCAATTTAAATACAGTGGCAGCCTGTCTGGCTTATAACCCAAGGCTGAAACAAACAGTTAAACTCAGATGTTTGACAGAAAGAAGACAAAAACCACAGAAAGCACATGCTGAATTATATCAGCAAAACTCTTGCACGCTTAAGCATGTGAGGGCTTAGTACTAGATAAGGGTTTTAACTAACTTTTATTTTGACATTCCCCTTTTAATAAGCGTTGCTCTTTATAAAGCGGTTTATGTGATTGCATTACTGAGAGGAAACAAAGAAATGCCAGGAAAACTTGATGTGGAGAATCTGTACTCATAAAATGCTTGTAAGCTCCAGCAAACAGGAAAGCTTCCCCCATGTCCTTTTTTTTTTTTTTTTAAATTCCCTGCCATTCAGCTTGCAAAAAAAAAAAAAAAAAAAAAAGAAAAAAGAGAAACCAACCCACATTGAATATCTCAGAAAACCGGATCTGGTGGTCTGAGACTAAACACAAATTCCTTCCAGTGCCACCACGAGCAAGCCTCTTCATGCTGCATTTGCCAAACACGAGCCCTCACTCTTCGTGGTTAAGAGCCAGTTGGCCTCAGAAAATAGGTTTTAACTCCTGGGGATGCCAAGGAATACGGATTTGATGGGCAGATGGCTTTGGCAGGCAGGGTTGGAGACTGTTAAGCCACTGACCATTGAAATGTATTTGTGAATGGCCCCTTCCTTCGTCCAAGCGCCCTTAGCTGAGTGGTGCAGATGGTGAAAATAAAATTGCTATGTGACGGGTTTAAAATAAACACTGCTATTTATCCAAACAGAAGCAGGGATTTGGGGTAAGGGATGAGGCTGAGCAGGGGGATTATAATGGATGCAGACCAGTGTGGTCACCGCAGTGCTCACAGTTGTTTCCCTGTTTCGGGGGACAATGCTGGAGAGATGTGCCTTGTGAGCCTCCAGTGCTGCTCCCAGCAGCCTTGTGAGGAACCGAGAGTTAAAGCATCCCATGTGCTCTCAGAGCCAATACTTAGTGTTAAAAAGCCAGCGGACAGGCAGGGAGCTGCTGCCGTGCTTAGGGCTAACCCTTCACCATCCTGGGCAAAGGCAGCCGATGCCGGGACCATCTCAGTCTTAATTGCATCCTTGATGATGGCATGCCAGCTCTGCCTCCTCCACTGAGGAGAACATGCTGCAACCCGTGTGGGAATCTGAAATGTCCAAGACTAACAAAGCATTTCTTCCATTTGACCGTTGGTTTTTGGGGGACCTACCATCTCAGCTAGTGGTTACAGGCAGCACACAGGGGCTTGCTCACCCCTTCTGAGCTGCTGTAGTCTCTTGAGCAAACCATTTGCAGACAATTCCTCCTCTTTGTGGCTGTTGAATTTCCATGTTATCCACTTGGAGCTGTATTCACCCAGCGTCCTATCCAGAGGTACTGGTCCTAGCTTCCCATGCTACTGGAGCCAAGCATGGTCCTCAACTTCTTCATGCATGTACGCATGTAGTGTAGCAGTGATGAGGGATGTGCATAAAGAAAGGCCAAACAAAACCATTTGGTGTGAGCACTTCTTTTACTCAGTAATTCCCTTTTTAGCTTGTTTGTTTGTTTGTTTTTCTACTTAGAAATTTCTGATACACTTAAAATGGTGCACTGCAAACCAACACAGCAGGATGCCGTGTTGGTACAGCAGAGGTGGCAGGCAAGAGGAGCAAGCGATGCTGCCAGGAGCTCCTTAGGTGTTCAGAAAAAGTATCTCCTGATATTTCTTGCCTGCCTGACGTGTTGGTGCTGAGCTGGGACTAACCAGCTCTTCCCTGGTTTAGTGTGGAAGTAACATAGAAAACACAGAAACCTCAGAGAGATTTTCCTGGGAACCAAAGACACATTATCTAACTGCTCATGAAAACTTTCAGCTGAAATATGCCTGCTCTCGATAGAGATTTAGAGGCATGAGTTGGTACAAGGTTGTGTTAAATGCCAAGAAATTGGCTCCCTTTTAGTGGTAGGGAGACTCACAGAGCCCACCCACAAAGGGTTAGGCTGTTTGGTGGGACAGAAGATATGTTGACCAAGCAGAGAGGGTGTGCTAACAACTTCCTTTAACTTTCCAGGAGACAGCAGAGACTTCCTGGTGGGAACAAGCCTCAGCAGCACACTGATCATCAGCAAGGTGGCACCAAACACAACAGGGACCACCAGAAACTCTACCAAGGAGGCCAGGCTCCTCACTCCTCAGGCAGGACAGGCCACCACGGCTACAGCCAGAACCGGAGATGGCACCACAACCAGAAGCACTCACCCAACGACAAAGAAACGCACAGAAATGCCAAAGAGACTGAGAATTTGAAAATTGAGGACACCTCCGTCTGCATGGTGCACATTCCCGTGGAGACGCACCGAGGCCCAGAGGCTGTGGAGAAGCAGTCTCAGCAGTACATCCAGGAGTCAGAGACCAAGCGGAAAGATAGTATTCATGAGCGCATTGGGGAAAGACCCAAGATCAATTTGCTTCAGTCTTCCAAAGACAGGCTGCGCAGGAGACTAAAAGAAAAGGTATTATTTCTTAGAGAAACATTTGAGTTTCCTTTTTTCCAATGGTCTGGCTGTTGGCTACTCTCCATACAAAGGGTGGGTTGGGCTCAAGGAACCTTTCCTTGAATGCACCTAACTTACCTTCATCTCCCAGTGTCTGTCAACACTTCTCTTGAAGTGTCTTCATGCTTCTTCAGGAGACCTTTTATTGACACAATGCTCTTAGCTCACCTCCTTGGTTGAGGTTGCTACCAGCTTGTGTTCTCCAAGAAGGACTGGAAACTCTCCCTCTACCCATGCAAAGACCCTCTAGAAGGCAGGTGCGTGCTCAAGCTGCAATGTGAGTGCTCCTTCCCCAGCAGCTGATCCCAACTGACTGCCTCCCAGCCTACAGAGCTCATCTGCTTTGCAAGGAGGTCTAAAAAAGGCAATTTGTCTCCACAATTACAGAGCTTTGACTTTTGAGTTTTGAATAGTTAGAGTCAGCTACATAGAAGTTGATATCCATTTATCTCAGCAATGAATTGAAACACCCTTATCTTTCCCCCTTCCTTCCAACAACCCAACAATAACAAAGCTATTCCATGCAAGTGACGGAGGAGAAATCCTTTTTGGAAACAATATTCAGACTCAGATTTCTGAGGAATTTGGAGATGATATCTCCATTTACCCTCTGTGAAACTCAGATTCTTTCCCTTGAGATTCTTTTGTCAGACTGGAAAATGTGTTCATGGGGGTCTCTCCAATGAGATTTCCAAAATGCGTAGTGAAAATAACCTGAACATGTACAATTCCATGGGACTGCATGTTGGAAATGTATATCTTTGAATGCATGTGCATTTACTATTTATGTATGTGGCACGACAGGGAGGAATAGATTTCTTTTAGTTATTTTTATGTTCTTTAAAGCAAATGGAAGTATAGCAGAAACTGTCAGAATATTCATTTTAGTGCCCACCATGCAAATTTATAGTCTTATAAGAAGGACATCACATAAGCTCCTGCTCTTGGGTGGGTGTAGTCAACACAACTGGCCTCGTCATGGCAGTTTTGGAGAACTCCAACTGCCAGTTGGCGTTGTCCAAAAAATTGCTACAGGTTTGTATTGTATAGCATGTTTCAAGATTGAACTAGGGGAGGAGAAAGGAGCAAGCAGAGCAAGGAGGATGCATGCCTGACAATGGGGGAAAGGGAAAAATGCGTAATTAAATGTTTAAAAGAAGCAATAAATTCTATGGTAACAATGTGAAGTGAGAAGTGTAACAGTCAAGTGATGGAAAAGTTAAGAGTTTTTCTCATGCTCTCAATTTAGATAATTAAATATATATGCTAAAATAGATAATTTTGTAGGATAGTTTTCTAAGCATTTTGCAAACAACAGTGCACTTTCAAAATAGAGGCAAAAAAATATCCATTATCACCATGTTGCAGACACCCCCAGAAACCTGTCCAAGATGCTAAAGGCAGTCAGGGGTGGTCAGACTTGGCATGCTGGCTCAGGACCCTCCAGTGGATCTTCTCCATGAGCCGAGGGGGAGGACTGTAGGATCGAGTGCTGTGGGAAATGGGGAAAGAGAATATTTCTGGGGAAGGACTCATTCACTTGTGGTTTTCAATGCTGAAATAAGGCCATTGTGCCTCTAAAAGATGCTTTGATTTTTCTATGCCTGTTTATATGTCTCCCCAATCCCCTTCCCCCTTCGCTTTTTGTGGAAGGACAAGGGCTGATATGTCTGTTTTTTCCTTGTGTAACAGACGCCTTGTCTTTCCCTTTTCACGGACCAGGACGAAGTCACGGTGGAAACCACCAATCCTGAAAAGAACAAAATGGACAAATTAATTGAAATACTCAACAGCATGAGGAACAACAGCAGCGATGTTGACTCCAAGCTCACCACCTTCATGGAGGAAGCCCAGAACTCTACAAACTCTGAGGAGATGCTGGGGGAGATAGTCAAGACCATCTACCAGAAAGCGGTGACAGACCGCAGCTTTGCTTCCACGGCAGCCAAGCTTTGTGACAAAATGGCCCTCTTCATGGTGGAAGGAACCAAATTCCGGAGTCTGCTCCTCAACATGTTGCAGGTAATGAGATAAAATTAGTTGGTTAGATGCCTGCAGCTTCACCCTGCCTGGTCTTACCATGCATTTGGACAGGAGCTGAGCTGTTGCCAAATTCCTTTTGAACCCAGTGTTGAGAAGAGAACAGAAGCATACCTGCAATTTTGTCTGTGCACATCTTTAATGGTTACCATAGATAACGTGGCACTGAGGGCATTGTCAAATTGCTCTTCATTCCCTTTTCATGAGCTGTATGTGGAATTATGGTATCTCACACCACGACCCATCTGTGAAATGAGTGGGTTGCTTGTGGCAGCACCATATGGCATGAAGAGAAGTTAACTTGGAGTGTCTTTCAGTGGAGGATCTTTGCCGCTCTTTTCAGCTAAAGTCCATCTCAGCACCAGAGATACCAAGTTAAGTCATGGTCCCTGAGTAGGCTGTTGGTTGCATCACCTGGCTGAAGGGCTCACTCCTGGTTTCTGATTGCAACCCAGACAGAAATAATTTGTGTATTTGCTAATTATTCTGAGTGACTTGTTTATTGGTGTACAGCACTGATTGATTGTTCTGCTCCAAAACCATCAGCAACAGCAAAGTTAGAGGGGTACAAAAAAAACAGTGGCTCTGAGAACTTGTCCATGACAATGGTGGATGATAAGGAAGCAGGACTGTCCTCAACTGCCCATGGTCTGCTGGGAGGACCATGTTTTACTGTAGTGCCACTATCAAAGCCAGGGGTTGCTTTCAGGAGAGGGTGTCACGTAGACCTCTGTCTTTCTGCCTCTCTGGAGACAGGACATATAGAGCTGAAACTACGAATTTCCATCCTTAATTTAATATGTGTTTCCATTTGGCCATTCCCTCACACACACATGTTATTTGCAGCACATATAAAGTTCTCATTTCATTTCTGTGTTCTCTGCACATGCTCATTGCTCCAGTTTTTGACACATCTTCTTGCCCTTCTTGCTCTTGTTGCAGATTGTCCCTTGGATGTTGTGCCTGACTGCCTGTACCTTGTGTGGGCTGAGTTGGCTTTTGGGCAACACAGCAAGCAGGGAAATGGTTGACGGTTGGACTTGATCTTAGAGGTCTTTTCCAACCTTAAAGATTCTATGATTCTATGAAATGAGGAGCAAAATAAAGTAATGAAAATCAACATTTAATGCAACCTAAGATAACCCATCTGAGCATCCTGCTCCTCCAATGCCAGATCACTTTTTTGTCTTCTCCCATTTGGCTGAGCAATGCTAAGAAATACAAAATAAAGTCCAGGAGCGATGGCCAGGGAGCGGCAGGGTGTTACCCCAAAACTGAGGATGATGGCAGTCCTTCTGGGTTACAGAGGACTCTTCCAACTTGCTTTCTTCTCTTGCCCCAGCATTTCAACCCTTACCAACAGACCCAGCAGACCAATTTATACTGCAATGTCATCTGCAATAATAACTGGCTTCGTATTCAGCTCTTCATAGCATGAATGGAGGATAAATAATATATCTCATGTCTCCAGAGAGTCCCAAAGTGCTTCCCGGGAACATGTAGCCAGTCTGGGTGTGATGGAAGGATGATGTCTGTCATGGAAAGCTGGGAAGAAATGAAATGTAAAGGATGAGCAGGGTGTGTGGGTGACTGAGTTCATGTGCTGGAGCAGGGAAAAATATGCAAAAGGGATTTGCTCAGCCCCAAACTGCACATCTTTTAAAAATGTCTTGATGGGGCAAAAGGTGACAGATCACTACAGGTCAAAAGCAAAGTGATATATGAAATTAAATAATTTAACATTTCCTTTCTGATAGTAAAGGATTTTGACTTTCTCCAAGCACAGTTTCTTCTTCCAACCAAAATAACAGGATGCAGTCACACAGATTCATGAAATACCTTGGTCACTAAACTGTGACTTTTTGCGATGCATTCAGGCTTGATAGCCCTGGCTGGAGACAGAGGCAGGTATGAAGCACAAAAAACTTGTTGCAGCTACCTTAATGTGAAATAAAGGGGTGGTTGATATTGATATATATTGTCAATATCAGTATGATATATTGGATAATATTTGGATATTATTGAATAATGTGGATATCATATTGATATCATATTGATCACAGTAATATATCAATGTGATATATTGATATATGGTTGGTGATAAAAGATATATTACTCAGCACCAGTCCTGGCCCTTCTACAATCAGATGTTTTCCATCAGTCATATCTAGATAATTTACCATTAATTTAAAAAAAAATAAATTCTTAAATAAAATGCTTGCTCGAGAGCTGGATTTGTGTCTCTCTAGCACCTTTCAGACTAATCTGATCCCCGGACGTAAGGAGCTCGTCTCTCTGGGCCCTGGCGAGCTGGGGAATTACTCTGCCCGGGTGTGATAAATCAGGATCAACGTGATCCCCCCGCAGTGCTGCTGGCGCCTGGGGCTGGATCGCTCGCCCCCCCATCTGCTCCCAGCAGATGCTCCTGTTTTGTAGGGACTTGTTTGTCCCTTTCTCTCAGGGCTGTGACAGCACTGAGATCCCACCAGAGGATCTCATAAATTAATGCATTAACCTGTTGAGCCACCCTACCGGCATCCCAGTACCCATAGATATCATCCCTATACCCCGCTGGGCTTTAAAGCAAGCAGCAAGGGGTTTTCCTGTGGAACAGGCAATAAACTGAATAAACTGTCATTTTAACCTGGCTCCTCTTATATTTTCAGCTGTTGACAAGGTGCTCATGCTCAGGGGCTGCACATGTTCACAGCTTATCTCGTGGGACTTGTTTTGATCCCAAAACAGATGCCAGCGCCACGGCACAGGAATGCTGTCGTGTCATCCCCCTCCCTGCCAGCAGCTCCTCTACAGAGCATCCCCCCGGCCGACGTTGCACTGTTTCAGGCTCTAAGGGGATCTGTCGGGAAGACACTGGTTTGAATTTATTCCTCACTCTGTGTTTTGATCCCAAATCTTGGCTGAGTCTTGAATTTGGGTGCTGCAAACCTTTCAGGATGCTGAAGGGAGATGTGGAAAGGGGAGTCATGGGGTGGGCAGCTGGTCGAGCTCAGGGAGATGCTGCCATGTAGGGGCTTGTCACTCGTGGGGAGAGGGTCATTTGGGTTTGATTTTCTCCTCGTTGAGGTTGGTTTGGTGTTCAGTACAAGGAGTGATTTTGGGCTGCACAAGCCCTTGAGACGGACCTGGCTGAACTGGTCTCAGGGAGCTTGGGTGGATGGAGGCATGCAAGCACATCTTGGTGAACACATGTATGGTTTCTTCACCGCTCCAGAAATACCTTCTTAATTGGTAAATTGAAAGTAAGTCTCCTGCTAGAGGTTTTTGCTTGTCATAGTTTCACTCACTGGCACGTCCAGGCTGTGGTGCTTTTTTTTTTTCGGTGGGGCAGTGTTAAGCAATGTGTCACAAACCCTTCACATGTAACATAAGTTGGAGTATTCCTCTGTTGAAATGGCCATGCTCTTTATAGCAGAGCTGTGTCTGCATCTGAGCTATGCAGAGCCAAGTGTATTATTAGAGCGGACATCACTGGGGCTGTAATTGTACACTGCTCCCCTTAGCAACCACAGCCAACAGCACATCAAACAGAAGGCTGATACCTTCTTTTAATAAAAAAAAAAAAAAATAAACCACCACGAAATGCACATCTTGACACAGAGCAGCAGAGCCCGCTGCAGAGCGCAGGCCGGTGTGCAGCCAGAGCCAGAGCCTGGTACGTCTCTGCAGTTGGAAATGCCTTGGTGCCAGTGGAGAAGGGCTATTTCTGTTGCATACCCTATTGCATACCCTTTTAGATACCCTACAGCATACCCTATGGCATAACCTACTGCATACCCACGCAGGGTTTCTTCATGGTCTTAGTTTAATCTCTTGATACCCCAGAAATGGCTCTTCCTTTGTCCGGTGCTCTGCTTTGCTCTGGTTGTAGAAACTTGAGTCGAATCCCATAGGTTTTGGCAGAGGTTGAACTTGGGTTTCAGTGGACTCATCTGGATTTGCGATGGTCAATGTGACCACTTCTGGAGGGTCTCAGCAAGGAAGGTAGCCAAAAATCTGTTGTCAGCCCAAGCAGAGGATGAAAGAGGAAAATTTAGGTTGAGTCCCTTCTTGGTATGTAGATGTTGTGGTATTAGGTACTGGAGAATTGATTGATTCCCTTCGGTAAATTAGGGTGCAAAGGGAAGTGTTTGCCATGCTGAGCGTAAGGAGGAATGAGATGAAATTCCTTTTGTCCCATAGGCTTCCTCTTTCTTTGAGCAAATGGCTTAACCTCCCAGTGATAGCAGCCCTTTCTGCATCATAGGGGTTGTGAGGATAACGACACCAAAGGGATACTGTGGGAATTGGAACATGGAAGTAATACACATGATTAATGCTGAAAGGCAGGTCTTCTTCCCCCTTCACATGATTAAGGTCTGGGTCTTCGGTAGGGAACAGTTTGTGGTTTGACAGAGGTGGAGGCAGGAGGATCTGAGCATGGCTAGAGAACATCTGACCTGTACACCGTGTCCAGCATTGACTGCAAAACCCATCAGCACTCTTTCTGTGGCTGTTTTTAGTTTAATTTAATTACAAATGGTCCAGTTCATGCACAGAAAACACAGTGGTACCGCTTGTCTCGGAAAAGACATTGCCCAGGAGACATCAGAGAGGTTGCTTCACTGAAAGATAGGGGCAAAAAAAGGTCTCAAGGTCCCTGGAGAAAACCCTAAAGCCATAAAGGTGCATGTCTCGCATGCTACAGCAGTGAAGATTTGCACACTCAGCTCCATGGAGCAGCACAATATCTATCTCTCTGATCTGTGCACAAGCCGAACGTCACTGCCTTTGGTTTCTCTCCAGAAAAGTTTGATGAGCTCTTCCCAAGGTGAGGTAGTGATTCAGTGGAGAAAGCCTCCTCGAGTCGAGCTGCTCCCCACTGCTCTTGTGGGGGGATGAGGGACATCTCAGTGGTGAACCTCAATGGTGATGTGTCCATGGGTTCTGCCAGCCCTGCAGGAGCCCAGCACAGGCAGAGAAAT